AAGAGAGGAAATCAAGAGTTTTGATTTAATGCATCAGAAATATTTATGAGATATTCATGTGAAGTCATTGACAGATTAGGGAAAAGATCAGAGTGGAGGGTGAATTTTAAGCCATCCTAACAGCAATGGGTAGCTCCCACAGCATAAGACTAATTTTTTCATAAAGGCACTGAAACATGTTTATTCTTCAGAATATTTCTATTGATGAATTATTAATTTTATGAGTTTTATATTAAATGAGTGCTAAGCAGGAAAAAATAAAAATATTGAGTTTTTAATATTTATTGAATGTTTATATAAAAGTGTTAGTTTTTTTTTTTTATTTTTGAGACAAGGTTTCATTATGCAGTTCAGGCTGGCCTTGAACTCACTTTGTAGCCCAGGCTGGCCTCAAACAGTGATCCTCCTGCCTTAACCTCCCAATTGCTGGGATTACAGGCATCCATCACCATGCTAGCTTCAAAATTTTGAACATTGGGTCATTTTGGTGAACAGAGTCTAAAAAAACCCCAAATTCTTACATGAAAATATCAGCAGTACTTTATTTAAAAAAATCTTTATTTCAGTTATCACACCTAAGCTAGGCAGCACACATGACAACAGAGCACATTCTATATACACATTTCATTTACACTGATATCATGTGTAAAATTTTGCTTTCCTTTGCTTTTTGTAGGATATACTGGAATCTCAGTGGTCCTGCTGTTTTGTCAGCAGATTGTATTTTATACAGTGCATAGATTAGAGGAAAATGAAATATCAATAAAATAAAGTGTTACATTCGTAATATGGGTTGCATATTAGAATATACTTCAAAATTTTCACAGAAGTTGTGTACTTGCTTACCAAACCTAAAAGATAACATCAGAAATAAATTCCTATATAAACTACAATGAAAATACCAGTGGACCTCTACAACAAAAATAATCTGCTTCAGTTGTCACACCTGAGGCAGACTTCACATGACAATAGCATGTTGCAAGCACACATCTCACTTACACTGACAGCAGGTGTGCTTAGCTTTCTTTTCTTAGCAGTATTGGCACCTCTCTTCTGTTTTGTTAGGAGGTTCCTCTATATTGTACAATATGCATGTAGCAGGAAAATAAGATATCAAAGTAAAATGTCAAAGTAAAGTGGGTGCTTAAAATAGACATCAACATTTTCACATCAGCTGTTTACTTGCTTACAGAACCTAAAAGATAACATGAAAAATAAAAAGTTATGTGAACTACAATGTAAACACAAAAGTCTTCCACAAAAATAGGCTTTGCTTCAACCGTCACACCCAAGATAATCTTCACACATGAAAGCTGCATGTTCCATATACAAGTATAGTGGACACTGATAGGATGTGTGTTTCGTTTTCCTGTCTTTTCTTGCAGGGTACAGTTGGCATCTTTTTTATTTTCTTGTCATCATAGTAGGTCTTTGAGATGTTGCACCTGCCTGTTCACCTAGCCGCTCACCAATGTGCATCATAATTTTTATGCATAGTTATCTGGGCAGAGACATTTTGGCTTTCCTTTGCTGTAAGTGGTCTCTATTAAGTTCCAGTCCCAGTCCTTTAAGAAAATTTCTCCAAAATGTTTTACACTTGTTATTTTCTTTTAAAGTATCAAACTATTTATGCAACACATGTTTAGGATTAAGTAAAACACAACCGTTGGGCAGTGCTTTGCATTCAAGTGACATAGTTGCTGCAAAACTCATCAAAAATATCTCTCCCATCTTTGGTTTTGTTAAAGTTTCCATCTCAGACTTTGGTTTTGTCAGGATTTTCCTATCAGTATTCCCGTCATGGTGAAATGTCCACATCAGCAGTACCAGTTTGTTTTTCTTTGCCATATTGGAGGTCAATGTTAATGTTCTGAAGTCTAAATATTGTGCTATACAATTCTTTGTTTTGAAATTGTAACATTGGAATTTTCTGCTTTGTTCCTGTGTACAGTTCCTGTCCTGGCCAACTTGTGCTCTTAGTAAATTAACACTAGGAAATGGTAAACCAATTGTCAAGTGTCACATTCTGTAATTTGTAAGTTTGGGAGATGGGGGCAACAAGTGTGCTCACAACATCATTCATTTATTACTATATAAATACGGATCTGATAGCTGAGTTCCAGGCTGACGGTCTAAATTGAAGACATGTTTAAGTCTTTGCAGCTACAAGGGCATAAATTTTTAATGCAATATTTTGGCCTATAAGTCTTTTACATTCCTACAGTCAGCATAAGAAGTCTGAGCTAAGTATAGCAGACCCACGAATGCTTCCAGTTCAGCTAGTGAAGTGTCATAATAAATACAGTTTTTAATATGGATATTGGTGCATATAGAACGTTTTCCTTGCATTTCAGCCTTGTGTATTTCACAGCATCTTGTAGCATTTCATCTGTTAAAGTTTCCAATGAATGGCAGTGGTGGCATTCTATCCATTTCATTTCACCCCTGCCAAGACTTTCACTGTAGTTTTGGACCATTCCCTTTGGTTATGTGGGCATTTTGCAACATTTCAACTAGTCAAATATGAACTCACAGTGGTGCTTTCTTTGTCATCTGAATCAAGGAAGTCTGCATTCCCTATGTCCATATCAGTTGATTCTTGCTCCTTTTCCTTGTCACAGAATGTTTGGCTGACATGACCAATGTCAAAGTCATTGTCCTGACCATCATCATACACCCATACCATTCTTATGTTATGAAAGCATGAATCTAAGCATTGATAGTAGTTACCTGATTTTTTAAAAACATGACTACTAAATAGGAAGCAATTATGTACTTTTGTCAGTAGACTTATAAAGTCTGCTTATTTCTCTTTTAGTAATGTTAGCAGTTAGTGTATAGATCTTTTAGGGCATTACAGGTTGAAAAATAATTCTCTGATTCTATCAGTCTTTTTAATTTATTACATTTAATAATTGTAAACTAGAAAGCTTCCCTTCCTCTGCTCTTTGGCTTAAAATTAGTGGTGCAGTTTAAATAGAAAAAGCATGATAAGTGACAAACATGTTGGTGTATGCCGATAAGCCCAGTATATGAACACTGAGACTAGGAGGATCCTCACTCATTCAAGGCCAATCTGAGCTACATAATGAGTTCAAGGCCAACCTGTACTGTGTAGTGAGACCATGTCTTGAAGAGGAAAGAAAAAGCAGGATTAATCCTTTATTAATATGTTTCAGTCTGTTACAGTTAATTGTTTGTAATTGATGTTCAGATTGTTCTGTTGATACAGGAGAAATGCTTGATGTCAAATACTCTTGAGTTTGTGTCCCCTGAAGTCGAAGAAAGAATTCTGAGAAACAGTGTAATGTAAGAGTAGGAAAATTTATTGGAGAAAAGGAATAGGGTAGCTCCTGAGAGAGAGCAAAATCGTGAGGTGGGGTGCAACATATGTCAAAACTACAATCAACCAGTATGGTTGCAAGTATTATATTCGCTTAGGTAATACTGATCTGAGAGTAGCTAGGGTACATGAATGACATCATTAACCTTGTCCAGTAATCTGTATTCTAAAAAGTGTTGTATTTAGTTTTAGTAGTCTTAGTGGGAGAGGATGCCCCATCCCTAATGTGATAATGGGAAATCTCAAAAGAGTGATAGCAATAATCCCAAACTTCCGTTCTTTCCTTAGGGAAGTATATAAAACTAGGCATTGTGACTTTACTCTTCAGATGCAACTCCAGCGATAGTCCTGATACAGTCTTATCTTTTGCACTGACTCCCTTGAGGTTCCAGTCCTGTCTGACTGCCTACTACATTTCTGTATAACTTAGCTGTTTATACTACTACCATGGTCTTTTAAAGTTAGACTGTGTGTGTTTTAACAGACCCTAGTTGTCCTTGATAGCTTTCTAATAATGTTCTTATGTTATCCAGTATATGTTGAATCTTAGGTTTAGGACTAATTCTCCAAGGATATGTATGGTATTTAGAGATAACTATTTTACCTTTTTCTTCTTCTTTTTTTTAAATAGTAGCTTACTGTAGTCTTTCACATTGTTTCCTTTAGTTCTCCAGATATGAATTTTCCTATTCATTTTACTCCTTTATACTGTGACGTTTTAGGCATTTAGGGAATTCTTATTCACTGTTTTGATTCATGTGTATATTAAAACTTTTTGTTTTGTCTTTATTTTTTATTTTTTTGTGGTACAGGGAATTGAAGGTCACATGCATATTAAGCATGTGCTCTGGCATGGCATCTACATTTTTTCCTCCTCCATCCCCTTTTTCATATTTTATTTTGAGACAGTCTTGCTAAGTTGCCTAGTCTGTCTTTGGTCTTAATGAACCTTTTGCCTCAGCCTCCTGAGTAACTGGGATTACAGGTATATGCCGCTATCTGGGCTTACTTTTTGTTATGTTTTTGTCATATTTAGCATTTTTGTTTGGAGTGAATGAGTAACTTTTTAAATAAATTAAATGACCTTCCAGGAAATTTCCTATATTGCTGTTCCCCCTATGGAACAGTCTTGTCTTAGGCACTTCCACTAGTGAATACTATTTCTTTTTCTAGTGTTTTAAAAATATTTTCTGTGGGTGCTCTGATTTTTATTAGACTATTAATGTATGATGTCTAAGGTCAGTTTTGCTTCTGCGTATTTGGCATATGTCATTCTGTAATTCAGGATAAAAAAGGAATGGAATTTCTTTCCCTTTCCTGATAATTTCACTATTTTTAGCTGGAAACAGAAGCAAAAAAATGCAGAAAGTTTGCTGTGCAATTGTTTGAACTTGTAAGCACTGAAATTAAAGTAGTCAAATGAAAAAACTGTGTTTGTCTTCCAAGATTCCTTATAACACATATGTTTTTGTGAATCTGAACTTTGTTGTTTGTTTTTTTCTGTGTGGCTGAGGGAAATATATATGCTGTAGTTCTATAAAATATGCCAGGAAGCTTACCTTAGTGCTATTTAGAAAATAAAAGGAAGACAATGAGAACTTGGGCACACAATTCTTGCTAAGCCCTATAATATTATCGCTTTTATTCATCCATACAGAAAACAAGCATGAGGCCAAGAGGAGGCGAACAGAGAGAGTTAGGAGAGAGAAGATAAATTCTACAGTAAATAAAGATTTAGAAAACAGAAAGAGGTCTCGAAGTAACAGCCATTCAGATCATATCAGACGAGGAAGAGGAAGACCTAAAAGTGCATCTGCCAAAAAACATGAGGAAGAAAGAGGTATGAATAAATCCAAGTAGCTTTTTCTCAAGTATTAAATTGATCAGAGATCTCAGATAGTAGTGAAGAAAGTGGAGGCCTTGAGCTCCTGTAGTTAAATCATAACTTATATTTTAATTTGAAAGCATTCCCCTGGTGGTAGATGCTTAATTTAAAAAAAATACAGAAATTCCTAGTGAAACCCTAAAGATTTAAGATAAGTAAAATCTAGTTTGCTATGAACTGATGGCAGTAGAGTTCAGAGGTAATAATTTGTATTGGACATCTTTGAGAAGCCTAATAAAATTATTGTAGGATTTTTTAATAGAGAATATGAAATTAAAGCGTAATTTAAAACTGTTATATTGTAAATTTAAAACATTTACTATTTAAATTTTCTTGATAAGAGTTTTTCATCAATTGCATATTGGGAGATTTGTGTGTTCCCTACATTGAGGCAGTGTTTGCATGGTTAGGTAAATTTTTCCTGATCCAAAGTGAATTTGTTTCTTCTTACAGGTGTTCTCCTTTGTTCTGACAAGTAATATGTTTACTGATGACTGGTTTTTAGCTATTAATTAAAATTTCATCTTTTCTTTTTCTAAAGATATCTTTATCTCTTTACATCTTTTAAAAAGCTTTATCACAAAAAATTTCAACATAAAAAAGAATAGAGAGAATAGCATTATGTACCTTTCTATGCCTGTAAATATCCTTTTTAAAAGTGACACTTCCATTTTAGAATGAAAGCAGGGTAGAGTGGCATGTGACTAAAGTCCCAGTACTTGGGATGCTGAGGCAGGGGAATCACTTGAGCTGGAAATTTGAGACCAGCTCAGGCAATATAGTAAGACCCTGTGTAAGAGGAGGGGATTATTTTCAAGCCAGTAATTAATGAAAAAAAAAGGATAGTTGTTCTTTATAATTATCTAAAAACTTCTATCAAAAAGATTTTATCTTCAGTGAAATCTGTTGATAATTTTTTATATTATTTATATTTTGCTTTGCTTTTCTTCAGATATTCTTAGTATTCAGTTGTTTTCTGTGTAAATATAAGTTTCTATTGAGACACAGAATTTTCTACTATTTACCATTTATTTTTTGTATTTTTATTTGAATAAAAACCTACTATTGAAGGTGGCCAGATATAACTATGTAAGTGTGTTAGGGAATATAAGTGGTGTCATTGGCTTCTATCAAAGTTACAGGTATCTTAACATGTGACTAAAGAAATAAAGTTTATATCATTATGATACTGTTTTAATTGAATATTCTGTGAAGGCCATACTTAGATGCTCTTTAATTTTTGGATACTTTTTAATATTTTTTCTCTTTTGTTGTGCTATTACAGAGAATTTGAATTACTGGTTTAGTTTGAATGTGTTTCTTTAATAATGAGATCATCAGAATAAATAATGAGATCATCAGAAAGTCTATTAAGGACTATTTTAAAAGGGACACTGGGTAAAATCAACAGAGAAGAAAGAAAACAAATACTGCTTGATTCAAAACCCAGAATATTTTCGGTTGAAGTAAAGGGATTCTAACTGAAAGAACAGAGATAAGGAGACAGATAATGACAGTTTTTTTAGTTGGTTAAATGAAGTCTGTATAACTGTGCTAGAACTTTATACATACAGGCTTGAATTTATATTTCATGATTAAATTGAAAAAGATTTATTTGGCTGCAAATAGTTTTCAGGCATTTTTAGTTTACTATAGTAAGTTTTAAAGAAAGGTGTTTCTAGAATAAGATAACACTTTAAAAATTTTTTGATGCAAATTGCACAAACTAGTTCAAAGCTCTTTCCGTAGCATAAAATGGAATATTCTAATGTAGACAGGGGAGTCAGCAAACTTCTCACAAAGAACTATATAGTAAATAGTGGTTCATAGTCTTTGTTACAACTACTCAGCTCTGTCAGTGTAGCTGGAAATATAAACCATATGTAAATGAATGAGCATAGTTGTGTTCTAGTAAAACTTTATTTTAAAAAGAGGAGGCAGTGAGATTTGGCATCCAGGCTGCTGTTTGCCAATCCTGATGTAGACCATTGTTCTCTAAATAGAATATGGATAGGAACTACAAACTTAGACATATTTGTGTATTTTAGAATTCTGTGATAATGCTTTTAAGGGCTAAGTAGCCAATTTAGTTTTGTTTTTATTCATTCTCTGCTTTTATGACCCTTAGATTTTGAAGCAGGCTTTAGCTGTTTTAGCATATGAATTGGGGAAAACCTGATAATGTATCTAAGAGACAAAAATTTTTAAAAACTTCATTATGGTTTTTTTGTTTGAAAAAAGAATATGAAAAAAAGAAAAAGTCCCCTGCCTCCCAAGTTTATCTTTGGAAAAGATAAGATGAAACAGTCCCTAACCCTAGGGAATACCAGGCATTGTTGAAGGCATAGTTGCTACACTAAAGGTAAAAGTTGTACCTGGTAAATACTCAGTTCACTGTTTAGGCTTACTAATGCCTTGCAGGTAATAGAAATCGGAAGTTAATTTTCTCTAGTAATCTGAAGAGCTCAAGAGAAAAAGTCTAAAATAAAAATACATGCCATCATTAGCAATTTCACAAAGAAATGACCTACTTAGAACTTAGTGAAGTCTCTTTAAGCTCTCTTCAGATGCTCATGTTTCTAATCAGCTTTTTTGCTCAGACTTCTAAATGTGAATATATTATCAAGAGTCACCTGGATATACAGAAGAAATGCTTTAATGTAAAAGACAGCCTAAATCCCAAGGAAAGAAAAAATAATTTGGAGAAAACCAAGTATTTGCTGGTATGGGGCAGGGGGGACTATCATTACTCTCCTTAGTAAAAGAAGGTATGATAAAACAAGATGCTATTTGAAAGGTAGAGGTCGAAATGGTACCTGGAAAATAAATTTCTAATTAAGAATTTTAAAATTCAAGCATATGATTCACAGAAGAAAAAAACCCAACAATAATAGAACAGTTCCAGAAAATATAGCAGTAGGAAAAAATATTTAAAAAAAAAAAAAAAAAGGAAAGGAAAAGTTACGAAATTTAGAAGACCAATCTGAAGTGTTACATTTATAAATAACTGAAGTTTTAGAAAAAAGCATAGAAGATGGAGAAGGCAGTCTTCCGTGAAGTATCTCAACAGAATTTCCTAAACCTGAAGGACATTGAGTTTGCATATTAAAAGGACCATGAAATTCTTGACCAGTGGATAACTTAAAAAATGGAAATGATACCAACGCCTGTCATTTTATATCACTGTAAAAGAGAAAATTTTCTAGGTTTCCAGAGGGAGCAAAAATAAATCCAAATGGTCTTAGAATTAATGCAACGGAATATTACATAACAATCAGCAGATTGTATGAACTGATATGACCAGTAAACACTGAGCCAAAGACGATAGACACAAAGAAATACATAATACATATGTTTAAGAAAAGATAGTGAACCTATGGTAGTAGAAGTCAGTACAGTGGTGCTGGTGTAAGTTGGGAGTGGACTAGAAAAGAGCACAAAGAACTTTCTGAAGTGAAGGAAATTTTCTGTCTTGATTGTGTTTGGGTATGCATTTGTCAGAACTCATGTAGTTGTCCACTTTGGAGGATCTATGTATGTCACTAAATGTAAAGTTAGCAGTAATTTTTAAAATAGCTATAAAAAGGTTTTTTGTTTGTTTGTTTTTTTGGTTTTTTTTTTAAATAGTGGAACCAGTCAAACTTACCCATTCTAAGGGGTAACTTCCAAGTCTTTACTCAAGGTAAACAAAATATACTTTCTGATACTCAGAGCTTCAAAAATTTTGCTACCCATATTCCCTTTCTCAAGAAGCTATTGCAGTTTACGTGCTACCAAAATGAAGTAAGTCAAAAATGATGCTGGGATTCAGGATACAAAGGATCCAACTGAAGAGGGACATGAGAAGTTCCAGTATAATGCTGAAGAAGAATCACAAGATGCAATAGGCCTAGAGAGCAACCATGAAATGGGAAGATTTGAAACAATTTTTTCAAGAAGATAAAACTGACAAAATACCTAATATATTTTAACATCCTGACATTTCTACAACTAACAGAGAGTTGGAGTTGATTTGGAAATGAAAACTAAGCAAATAAAAAGAGAGAGTCTCTTCTGGGAAAACAGTGTGCAGGACAAATGACTCACATAATCACAATGATTTTGAAAATTGAATTTCAATATTCAGTTGAAAATCGATGTTACTGAAATTGTGATTAAGCTAGAATGAGAAGATGACAGGATAAGTGGAGTGTTCGTGGTGGGACAAGAAAAGCAAAACAAAGCTGGGTTTGGTGGCACATGCCTGTAATCCCAGCACTAGAGAGCTGAGGCAGAAGCATCAGAAGCAAGGCCAGTTAGCACTACACAGTGAGACTGTTTCGAAAAGAAAACAAAAACAGAGAGTTGCAAAACAAATCCTAAATTTCCATAGTAGAGGGTGAATATGTAATTCCTAAAACCAGAAAGTAATATCTTTCTTATAAAATCTCAGAATGTATGCAAGTCAGGTTTTTATAAAAACAAAAAGGAGCAATGGAAAAAACCAAAAAAATTATCTAGAAAGTAGGAAATGTACATGGGAGAATGGACCTCTGTATTTTACAAAGTTTTATAAAGATGATTTGACTAAATTAGATGTGTGTTTAACTTGGATTAAAATGTTAAAACAGTCACCCAAACAGAATCACAATACAGTCTGAAAACAGTAATTTGGACAGTAAGTAACATAAAGATGTTAATGTAATTTCAAATGGTTCATGATTTAATAGGTTTTCTTTTTCTTTTTCAATTCATCTTCTATGAACTTGGATTTCATTTGTAATCATGAGGGGAAAAATAGAAATAAATGTGGCTTTTCTTATTTCCTACATTAGAGTTAAAGTAAAGATGTTAGTATATTCATTAAGTTACCATTGATGTTAAAAGGACCATCTTCTAAGATAAGAAATTTAATTTTGTTTGAGGTATTTCTTACTAGTGAGGAGAAAGAAACATGAGATTCTTAAAGAAATTTGTAACTGCTAGACTATATATATATAACTATATAGTCACTATGTGGTCTTTATTTCAATACCTCTGTGTACTTTTTTTAAAAAAGTTTAGTAGTGTAACATTGTATATTATATGTGTAATATTTAATTGTCTTTTGAAGAGATACTTTAAAGTGTTAAAACATTTAAAAAATTATTGCATCTGCTGCCATGATACTAAACTTTCCCTTTTTTTTTTTTTTAACAGAGAAACAGGAAAAGGAAATAGACATCTATGCTAACCTCTCTGATGAAAAGGCTTTCGTGTTTTCAGTCGCCTTGGCAGAAATAAATAGAAAAATTATCAATCAAAGACTTATTCTCTGATTCTGTCTGAAGAATCTGTTGAAACTTTCTTCAGGATTGCATCAGCAAATTCTCAAAGTGATGGACTCTCAGGAGCATTCTGACTACATCAATAAAGGGCATTGATTGATTTTTTATTTATCATTTAGCCTGCGCCACACTTTTGGAACAAAGTTGTATGCTCAGACTGTTCTGGAATTTCCTTGTTTACCAAGGAATATTGTCATTGTTTTAGGTTGGAATATTAGTAGGAGTATTTAAAAACCAAACCAAACAAAATGTTGGATGGGTGGATGTTAAAAATAAAAAGGGGTCAGAGTAGGGATGGAAGTATGAAAATGAGGGGAATGAAATGGTTGATAGTTTTCAGGTTTGGCACCAGAGATGCAATATTTTAAATACTATGAGACAGAATGATGTTTAAATGTACACATATATGACAGATTTTCCATACTAACAGTTGCGTATATACAGTTCATTTACCTTTAATAAATTGGCAATTGATATTTTATTGAATGGGGAAATAAGAACATAAGCTGTAAATTTGTCCTAATTGATTTTTTTCCTTGGCCATTTTTATGACATGAGGTATGAGTTATATTTTTAGATATACTTTCTAAACAGTTTGGAAGTTTGGGTGCTATATGAAGAAAAACATTTAAGGATATATCATACTTCAGATGTCGACATCTTGTTTTATTGAATGTAATTTATTTATTGGTTACAAAAACTTTTTTCCTCTCAGAATGGTGCCTGTTAACCTAAACTTAGAATATATTTATTACATGGAAAATATTTCTTAGCCACTTTTAAGCAGTAATGTTTTATTTGAGCGGATGTTCATTTATACATCCTGATAATTATTTAAACTGTTACTTAACCTCACTGAAAGAAAAAAAATAAAGCTTAATATTGAAACTAAGTAGACTAAATATTGTGACATAAGCATTTTGTCCTAGTGAAGTTCCTGAAATATATTTCAGTTCTCAGTTTTTCTAATGCTAAGTCACGACCATCTGTGGTTGATGTGTAGTAAGTGATTTTACATTTTGGTATACCAATTTCATGGTTAATGTGTTTAGATTTGGCAGAAATTTCCCTTATCATTCCCCTTTTCATTCCCTCCTCTACCAATTTGAAGTCCCTAAATCATATTAGGAGTCAGCACTTAGACTTCACCTCTATAGGTATATACAATCTCTCTTCTTTTTAAGAAAAGCATATATTTATTTTTAGTTGACACATAATAATTGTACATTATGGAGCACAGGGTAGTTGGCATATCTGTCACCTCAAACATTTGTTATATTTCTTTGTGTTGTAAACAGAGGTCTTCTATAGTAGCTGTTTTGAAGTATACAATTATTATCAACCATAATTGCCTTTCAATTTCAACAGTAGCACTGTCAGCTTCATCTTTTTATCTTGCATCTCCCATCACCTCCCAAAAGAAAATAGGTCTGCTCCCCCCCCCTTTATTTAAATTGGCAGAGGGAGCCTAAGAGATAGTCTACATAGAATGTAGAATTTTCCTAAGAAACCTTTTAATCTTTGTGTCTACCTGCAAGTACTGCTGGAGTTACCTTGTATTTATTTCAGACTCCTAGTAATAAAGTTTTCCCATGATTGTAATATGATTTTATTTTTGAAGTATGGAAATACTATAGGAAAACTTCTGATTTTGAGTGAGAAATCTTAAACAGTAATATCTAAGTGTCTTTTGGAACATACTGTATATGTCCTCAGAAGAAAGGAAGAATAGCCAGTGGAATAGGTGTCACAGTCTGTCCATTTAAAGATGAAGATCATTAGAGGAAAGTAATATATGTTAAAATATTCACTAGATACAGTGAAGGAGATACTGACCTGGGCTTACCATATGGAAAGTATTTTACTTCAAATGGTCACAGTGTTAAATTGTTTGGCGGAGGTACAAATTAGGTTTTCCATGTTCATGACATATGTCATTTAACCAGTTTCTTTAAAACCTGTCTTCTCTGGTAGATAAAATTTAAAATTTTCTTATTACAAAAAGCTAAAAAATTTGTTTAGATGTGTTGTAAGAGTTCCAGAAAATAAAACTTTGTTACTAGTATTGAGGAAACCTCTGTTGGTCAGTGAATGTCCTAAGAGTCTAATTACAGTTCTTTAAATACTTGACCCAAAATTTGTTCTGCTGTAGGGTCTGGGAATATAGCTTAGTGACATCAGTGCCTGCCTGGCAAACAAAGATCCTGAGTTTGATTCCTGGTACCAACATTTGTTCTAATCTTTGTAAATTATATGATTATACAATATGTCCTGAAATTGTCCTGTGATTAGATTAGGTCTGTTGATATATTTGGCTTTTTGTTTTTCTTGTTTTTTTGGTTTGTTTTTGTTTTTTTAGAGGAGTCTCACTATATATATAGTTCATGTAGTTCAGGCTGATCTCAAACTCAGTGATCCTCCTGCCTCAGTTTTGAAATATGAATAAGATGACATAAAAGTAATTTGAGAAAACTTGGAACATAGAGTAAACGACAGATTTGTATTTTAAAATTTCTTCCTTTCCAGCTGGGGATTTAGCTCAGCGGCGTAAGTGTCTGCCTGGCAAGCATGAAGTCGTGAGTTCACAACTGGTGAATCCTGGTACCAAAAAAATCCCTGGTACCAAAAAAAAAAAAAAAATTTCTTCCTTCCCACCAACTCCATGCTATTACAACATATTTTGAGGAACATTTTAGCAATTTAGTGCTTGAGGTTTGATTTTGTTGTTCATTAGTTTCATACATGAACTGTAAAAAGTATTTTTATGTGCGAGGAGTCCTTGGGTGATACTTAAATATAAATTATCTAAAAGCAAGGAAAATAGTACAAACTATTTCTAATGTAGCATCAGTGGAAATGATCAAACAGCTTGAGATTTATAGTCAGATGACAAAAAAATTACAGAGCTGGGAATGGCTTAGTGGAAGAGTGCTTTTATCTTTTTTGTTAGTGCATGTTTACTATATATAATAAAAACCTTTATTGTGGGGAACTGCTTCATGTACATATTGCATCTTGATCCTTGTTACTTCCCTTTGTCCCCTCCTGTAGCCCCCAGCCTCCAGTAAGAGTACTTGCCTAGCATGTGTGAGCCCTTGGGTTCAGGTGCCCAGCACCACCACCCCCTCAAAAATTCAAAATGTAGTCTGAGTAAAATCACTTCAATTTCAGGAAACACACCCGTTTTACATCCAGAAAATAATTACATAAGTGTTTTCCTAAGAATTCAAATTAAGTATTTTGATTCCTAAAGTCTAATGATTTCCCTTGACACTTTAAATGTTATGGTAAAAATGAATTCACAATGTATTTTGACTTCCATCTTAACCTGTGTGTTTATCTTTTACATTTAGATATGTTAAGTGATATATTTAATATAGATGTGTTAATTACATTTAATTCTTTGCAAATACAACCTAAATACAGGAAGTTACAATGTCTGTTCATCCTCCCTGATGCTGGAGGTTGACCTCAAAGCCTCATGCATGCTAAGAATGTGCTGTACCATTTAGCTATGTATCCCCAGCACTTTATCCATTTTTAAGGGATTTTGGAGTTTTTTGTGTATTGAGTTGTAGTTCTTCTAGTTATTAACTCGATTTCCAAATATATGACTTGCAAATATCTTCTTCCATTCTGTGGTTACCTTTTTATTGTTAATTGTTTTTAAAATTTTGATTGTTCTTTTGTTGCTTTTGGTTTCATATCTTATTGTCAGGTAACATGAAAACTTTATCCCCCATACAACCAAATTTAATGTGCTCTTCCCTAAAACATTGGTTTGCATCATTCTTTGAAATTCATTCTTAATTTTATTTCCATGTTTTAACTGATTTGGTTTGATGCCTTATTTTCTTTGTAGCCACAAATTTTTCTAGTATCTTCCATCTTTTTAACCTTTAAGCCTTGTATTTTTGTAAAGAAATCTCTGTGCACTTAAAAATATCCTGTTACAAGCTTTATTTTTACATTTGGAGGTACTGTATGTGTTTATATATTTAACTTGCCTTTTTCCTAATTCTGTTTTAATCCAATTATTACCTGAATATTAATATTCATTGTCAGAACTGTAATAATGAGTATCCTAATATATCAAGTGAACTTTCCATAATTAAAAGTATAACAGAGGATCTAGACCCAAGTGGAATAATTCTTTTCATCATAGTCAAAAATTTTCCTTTTATTAGAAATCTTAACTATTTTATCTTCTGACAGGTTTGTTTTGCTTTGCTAATTTTTGTTATTTTGACGTGTGTCAATTTACAGTCTTTGTGCTTTTTCTATTTGTTGCCTTATTACACGACTAGAATTTCTGTTACAGTGTTGAAAAGGTGTTATGAGAGGAGATCCTTGCCTTGCTTCGAGTTCCTAGTTGTAGAGGAGGAAATACTGTCTTACACACTAAGATGTAACTAGTTTTTTGCTTTTGAAAAACAACTGTTAATGAGACTGAAGGAATTCCCTTTTGTTTTGCTTGTTCCGAGTTTTGTTTTTTGTAGTTGCTAGTAATTGAACCCAGGGTCATTGCACTGAGCTAAATCCCCCAGTGCCTTTTAAAATTATTATAATATTTATTTATTTATTTACTTACTTATTTTGAGTGTGGTGTTGCTAAGTCACTAAATTACACAGGCTGGGTTCTAACTCGTGATCCGTGATCCTCCTTTTAGCCTCCTAGAGTGCTGTTAATTCCTGGTGTGTGGCACACCAGGCTTGTAAGTTTTTATCATGAATGTATGTTGAATTTTGTCAGATGCTTTTTCTGTATGACTAATAATGATCTTTCTACTCTTTTAGGGTATTAAGATGGTAGTTCACATTGACTTTTGAAGTCTATGTTACATTTTCAGGTTGTGTTCTATTAGGATTTTTGTATATTAAGATTCAACTTTTTAATATTTTGTTGAATTTTTTTCATTGTATTTTGGATTTAGAATTAGATGAGTGGAGAAGTATTCCTTTTTAATTTTTCTGGAAGAGACTGTGTAGCATTCGTATTAATTAAACATTTGATAAAATTTGCCATGAGACTATCAAGGGCATAGAAATTTCTATTTGAGAAGAATTTTTACTCTGAATTCAGTTTTGTTACTGACCAAGCTCAGTGATCTATTTGGGTAAGTTCTGTGATTTTGCAGAAATTGGTTTATTTTGTGTGAATTGTTCAATTTGTGTAGACTTGTTGTATTCTTTATCATGTGTCTTTGGCATCAATAGTTTCCCCTCTGTTCTGATATTGGTAATTTGTGTCTTCTGTCAATCTAACAAGAAGTTTATTAATTGTATAGCTGTTTTCAAAGAGCTAGTCTGTTAATTTATTGATAATCTGGGAGTTTTTGTTTTAAGTGTCATTCATTTTTAATCTATTTCGTTTTTACTTTAGTTTTTTGCTTCTCTTTTTATAGTTGCTTAAGATAGAAGCTTGGCTTGTTGATTTCATGCTTTTCTAACATTTAATGCTGCATGTTTGCCTTTAAGTACATACATTTTGATCTCAGATTTTGTTACATTACAATTTCCTTTTTAAAATTGATAATATTTTCCAGTTTTTCCTGCTATAATGCAAAATTTATAAATTTTTAATTGTTCAGAGGTTATTCCAGCTTTCTTTCTGTTAATGCTTGTTTTTGGTTTTTATTAGACAACATATTTCATTTGATCTTAGCTCTTTTAAAATTGTTAGCGTTTGTTAGGGATAAGGAGCTGTCCATTTAGCTTCTTCTCTCACTGACCTAGCAAACATAGAGCCTGGAATTGCTTACATCTCTGTTCTCTACCTTGCAGGGAAACTTGCATCATGTCTTCTACTCTTAAAACATGAGGAGTTCGGAGACAAACTGTCAGGTGGGAATTATAGAAGTTGGGGTGCTACATGTGTGGTCCAGATTCTTCACTCAGAATGAAGGAGTTCTGGGATTCCTTCCTGATTGTAAGACACTATGACTAGGTCAGGAGTTAAGAAAAAATGTGTTTGCTTTTCTGCATATTTCAGAGTGTCTTATTAGAAAACTGTCCATTTCTGGCGTTTCAAGAGGAATTGATATATGTGTACATGCTTTCTTACTGTCTCCATAGGAGGAAGTAAAGTTAGGAGTCTTCTGCCATGTTCCAAACGTTGTAGTTTTCTTACACAGTAACATCTACTAGTGGTTGGTTGTGTAGAATTAGTGAAGGTATGTTCACTCCTGTTACATTTTTTGGAAGAGTTTGGGGAAGATAAGTTTTAATTCTTTGAATGTTTAGTAGAATTCAATGATGATACCATCTGATTCTGGACTTTATTAGAAAGTTTTAAATTAAACTGATTCAGTTTGAAACAGGATTTTGCTAAATTTCCCAGACTGGGCTTAAATTTGAATTTTCCTGCCTCAGCCTTCAAGTCTCTTTTTATTTCTTCTTGTATCAGTTTTATATATGTATTTTTGGTACTGGGGATTGAACTCATGACCTTGTGCTTGCTGGACACACACTTATACCACTGAACCAAACCCCTGGCCCTTGAATCAGTTTTAAGTATTATTTATTTCTAGGAATTAGTCTGTTTCATCTGTTACTTAATTTTTTGGCTTATAGTTGTTCATACTGTTTTCTTATAATCTGGTCAGTAGTAATATCCTCACTTTCATTTCTGATTTTAGTTACTTTTCTTCTTTATCTAGCTGAATGTTAATCTTGTTAATCTTGCAAGGAACCAATTCATGCTTTCACTGTGTTCTTTTATTTCCCTACTCGTTATCTAACTGGTAACTTTAAGGAACTATCCCTTTTTCCATTTTCCTTCTCCTACCCGGAAAAAGAAAGTCATAAACTTTTCTGGTCTGAATTTTACTGTGGAGCATTTCTGGTACATAGAAGGTTCCAAGATGTCAAAGAAAATAATAATGTGAAATATAATATGCATAATCCCACTAGAGAATTGTGTTTTGGTCTGCTACAAGTATCTTGAGAGTAAGGGTTCACTAAGAACCAGTTGGAGATAACTCTTGAGAAGTTTAATACAAGGGATTGACTTTTGTGTGTGCTAGGTGTTGAAGTCAGGACCTTGCTCATGCTAGGTACATGCTATACCCACTGAGCTACACCCCCAGTGCAAGAATTGATTTCTACAATTGTGGAAGCTGGTGAGGAAAGTCCAGAATTGATAGTGGAAGCTATCAGGAACGTCAGATGGAACTCGCAGGCACAGGATTAAGCTATTCTTCAGTGAAATTTTTCCTTTTTTGGTGGAAAGCCTAAGGTGGTTGTGAGATTTTTTTTTTTTTTTACCTAATTGAATCAGGATCACTTAGAATAGCCACAATGATATCTTACATTGATTGAATGTGGACTTGATTTTTAAGGTGAGTCAAGTCTTTTTGTATGGACTCCTATAATCTGAATTTGAGTAGACTGTGCGTGTGTGTGTGTGTGTGGCCTCACACATGCCAGGCTAGTGCTTTACTATAAAGTGCTTTACTATAAAGCTTTACTATAAAGCTTTACTATAAAGCTGTATCACCAGTCACTTAAAAGTGACTACTGATATAGTGAACTGCTGTCTGTCGTACTTGCTCTTTTTTCTTCACTTTCCTTTCTCTGGTTTTAATAGAGCATTTTATGTGATTGTTTTCTTTACTTTCAGTGTATCAGTTACATGTCACTTAAAATACATTTTGTGGCTGGTCATGCCTGTTGTTTGAGCTACTCAGGTGGCTGAGTCAAAATTGCTGGAGCCTAGGAGTTTGAGGCAGCCTATACAGTGTAGCAAGATCCTATCTCAAACAATAATTCTTTAATGTTCACCTTAGAGTTTGCAATACAATTTTACAAGTAATCTAAGTACATTTAAAAATAACATTTTACCATTTCATGTATAGTTCACGTAACTTAAAACGACACTCCCAGAAAAAAAAGTCATTCATTTCACTTGGTTATGTGTTATAATCGCTCAGTATATTATTACTATTATTACATGCCTAGATATATTTTCACTCAAGAAAATAAGATGTTTTATTCCCATTTATTCCTTCTCAAATTATTCTTCTCTTTATCCAAGTTTCTGACCTAGATTGTATTCCTTGGGAACTATTTTTTATTCATTATTTTTGGTAAGGCTGGCCTTGAACTCAGTATATAGCCCAGACTGGCTTCCAACTTTGGGCAGTACTCTTGCTTCAGACTCCTGAGTCTTGGGATTATAAGTGTACATAGCCATTCCTTGCCTTTAGGAACTATTAACATTTCTTACTAGGCATATCTACTGTCAGTGATTTTCTTCAGTTTGGTCTGAATGACAAATGTCTTTATTACACATGCATTTTTGTTTTTTTGAGACAGTGTCTTGGTCTGTAGTTCAAGCTGGCCTTGTACTCACTTTGTAGTCCAGGCTGGCCTTGAATTTATGGCTGTCTTACTGCCTCAGCCTCCAGAGTGTTGGGATTGTAGGGGTGTGCCACAATGCCCGGCTAGATATAGAATTCTAGTTGTTTTTACTTTATCTTACTTACTTACGAGACCATCTTGCTATATAATCTAGACTGGCCTTGAACTCACTGTAGCCCAGATTAGTCTCAAATTTGCCACAGTCCTCCTACCTCAGCCTTCAAAGTGCTGGGGCCTGATGGTGGTTTTTTTTTTTGTTGTTGTTCGTTTGTT